TTTTTGTTCCTTGCGTAATAAAGTCTTCAACCCCAAAGTTTATTGATTTCGGGTTGGTGCGGGTTTCAGAAACGCAAGAGTATTAAAAGAATATTACATAAAAGACACTCCTGTTGTCAGTGTTTGGAGTGCATTGTAAGTCTTGAATTCAGAGTAACAGATTAGCTAACGTTTTTTTCCTTGGAATTAATTCTCGCATAGCGTGAAGTTTGCTAATTTTCGACCTAATTTCGGGAAAATTACGGCAACAGTCTGCCCATAAATCAGACAAATATCTTGATTATTGACGCGTGTTGTGGTTTCATGAAAAATAAGAGTGTTCCACCTCGTCTTAATGAAGAAGAACACGAAGATTCTATCTGCAATTAACACTATGATCCGCAGATATCAGATAGAAATCTTTGCGCTAGGAGACTAAGAATTTGAAGTGTTTGACAAATGGACAAGCTAACAAATTTTCATTCCTAACCTTTTGCCACGCGAGGCCATTTAGATAAAGAAGAGGGGATATACACAGTTGTTTCATGCTAATGAACTAAAGAACATGCTTTCGTCAACTTGTTCCGCATTTGAGCGGGCTGGTCACGAACGAGGATCGAACGTTGCGCGCAGCACGAACTTGTTTACCAGGCGAGAACTTTTACATCTCTCGCCGATATTGCACCGGTTTACAATTGTTTCAAAGTGAATCCTTGTTTCCAAAAATACAAACAGTGAATGGTCACTCAGTTGAGGTTTAGGACGCATTTTTCTTTCCTTAAATCAAGAGTTCTCCTTTTTGTGGTGATTCTGCAGCTGTTTTCACTTGTTTTTTTCCCCCAACGACAAGTAATCTTTTCATTAGAAAGGAAACTCCTTACTAAAAGGCAATTATGTGCGTCGTTAATAGAAGTGCACCAAAATAGAAACATCTGTCCTCTACAGAGTTCCGTGATCAAAAGTTATAGAGAGAGCATTGACAAACTATGCCTTCACGCTTTGAAATATCAAGTGAACTGTTGTTTGTCGCGCATTTTTTCCTTCTGCATTTCTGTTTCAGTATTACTTGACATTGATTAATGGCCACACGCCAGGCTATTAAGTGCTACAGCTTTCTGTTTTGCCCTGTGATTGATAGTCGGAAGAGCTCGGTTTTGATCCATTAAGGATCACCGGGAATTAATATATCTTGAACGTGGCTCTCAAGGAATGCCGGCGGCAGTTTGTCTGCGGCAATCAGTGGTGGATCCACAATTAACATTCCTTGCTTGTCTTAGCTGTTATTCATTGAAGCCAAGGCAGGCATCAAGTGAAATGTGTTCTGTGACAAAACGGAAAAAGTGAATTAACTCAAGCTGAAACAAATTTCTTTTGTCCGGTCTATGAATAATCAAACGGAATTGATGACACACCCACAAGAATTATTGATGTAGTGACTTTCAGCTTTACGTCAAGTTAAGGTGTTTTCACACGAGCTCAGAGCGTTGTTGCTATAAATATCAGAGCAAGAAAACGAAATATAATGCAATGGATACGGAGATAGTCACAAAAGAACTGAAAAATTCGTTCAATCAGCAATTACAGGTGACACGTTAAGAGTGACAACTACATGACATTTTTAAAGTTTACGGTTAGAAAATTTATTGAGGAAAGAATGTTCTCTCTGTGATTAAAGCAATGAATTCTTCGACTGTTATTATTTGGTTTACTAGTCGAGGTTTGATCGAATTCTGAATCATTATTAAATTGACCTTGTCACTTGAGAAGCGAAAGCGGAGAAAACCACAACGGAATGAGGCAAAGGAAAGTGAGGTCTCCGTGCAAATTTAATCATTAAGTTTCCTCGGTATAAAGTACCTCACGCCTGCCATAGAGATGGTTGTCACGGGAAGCCGGGAATCCGAGAGTGAAAGTTATATGTCATTCCAATTCAGTTTGATCCTCCAAAAATACCTTCGACTTGATAGAGACTTCTCAATCTTGGTTGTGTTAGATTGGAAGACATGTAAGAGAGATATAATAGGCAAACTATGAAGGGACCAGATTTGCTAAAGATGGAGACGATTGAATCGGATTGCCGGCAAATGGCGATCTTGAAAAATTTAGATTAACCGGCTTCCTTAATCCTTTAAACCCCAAGAGTGACCAGCATCTAATTTCTCCCTACAATAATACCGCTGAGTCATTCATTGAGATCATGAGCTTATGTTGATCGCCAACCTAAGAAGCTTTGATGGTTAAACGAATTCTCCTTGTCGGTACCAAAGGTAATGTATAGGGAAGAGTATGGAGAATTTGGATGTTAGGGTGTAAAGGTTAAAGTGTACAAATTGGGACCCATAGTAACTTCGTAATGTAGGCCTCTTTGCCGTCCCTTTTTTTAAGGTCAAGAATAACGGCTTCGCTCCGGGTGCCCTTGGAGAGACAGAACAAGATTCAAGACTGCTCGAAAGCTAGTTGTATTTTTGAGCTTTGTAGTTGCTCTATACGTAGCTTTCAATAATCTCGCTACTGTTCTTAGCCGTTCTCAGTTTTAGAGCAAAACAACGAGATATGCCTAAATTGTATTCGGGTATTTAGGAGAATTGAGGGATGGTTTTGTCTTTTGTAACAGGTGTTTTGATATATTTTCGGCTCCAGAACGAAAAACATATGCACCTGAAAACTTGAGCTTTTTGCGTTGTAAAAAGGATACTCCTAAGTACCGAGCGCAAAAACCGGCAGAGAATTTACCTGACGTTAAATCAAAATGGAGCAAGGTAATTCTTTTTTAATGAAGGGAAAAAGACTTACATAGCTGAATTTCGAACAACAGGAAACAACGAAAGAACAAATTTGCTACGACATAATGCTTCCTTGGAAACGGCTGGTAGTATAGTCTCGAAAAAAGGGGTTCATGCCTCATCTAAATGCCCCTTAAAGCTGCGATCCTTAATTGAGCTTGCCTTCGTCAGAAATACGCTCCATTTGGCGTCAATTTTGTCTCTGTAGTTAAAATAAGCAGGTTTTTAGGTTAGCTAATTAATGCTAATAAAACTAAATCATTCGAGATAAAGTAAATAACACGCTTTTCCTCTGATATCGTTTCCTGAAAGTTCCTTACAGACCCATGCCATATCATTCAGTTTGTGGTTACAGCAGTAAAAATCGTGGATTAAATTTCACTTTTCATTGTGCTCTCCCTTCATATCAGGGCGTGGAATTCTATACAATAAAGGCTTCCTTATTTGCATAGGATCATTTCTACTAATTTCAGCGCTCAAACATTAATTTTTCTCGGCGTCCTTTGTTTACAGAAGCGAGCGAGCAAATACAGCTTAAGTTAATGATAGTGCGTTTAAATTTGTATCTGCCGATGGTTTTTCTTAATGGCTGCTTGCACGAAAATGTAGATCGGGTTTGTAGTTTGAATTACAATTTACTCCACTTTACACATGCAGCCTTCCATTAATTTTTGGCTGCCGCAAACTGTTTAATGCCCACATTAGTGTAATGAAATATGTATGTTAAATGGAAGCATCAAACGCGAAACATTACCCGGGTGCAATCAAAGATCTATTACGCATCTTTAGCGAGAGCCTGTCAATAAAACGCACATTTTTCAGTGATTCCTGTTTGCACTTGGATGTAGTTCCTGTGTTCCCCCTGTCGTTCAATTTTGTTTTGTTTGCCAAACAACCAACTACCCGTGGCCACCTGTGTAGCAAGTGACAAGTTCTGTTCAGCGAAGCTCACATTCTCCCTTCCATCTTGACAAATCAATGGATACCGCGCGCTGAAAGCAGTGATAGTCTTGTCGTGTCACGGATGCAGTTTAGTTTTTTTCAGGATAAAAAAGACAGAACGCTTTTAGCCCTCGAGATCGAAACCTTAAACGGTACACGTGCCGGTGATGAACTGGCATGATCGCGCGAGGCTATCAATCGAATATTCTTAATCTATGATCTTTCGTTATTAGGCGCGGGCGCACGATTCGAAATTGACACTTGCACGTGTTCTGAAAGAAAAGGTCCGTAATTCAGGGTGTTGTATCTTTCGCGTATGTTATTTCATAGGCCTTGAAGCCTGGAATATTTTTTTCGCCGCTTTGCAAATCAACAGAAGGTGTTTTCCCACTGATTGTCATTCTGTGCAAGTCCCGTTGATAGCGAATGAGGGCCTCTTTTGAGAATGAATTTTTTTTTCTGTTCGCGTGCAAATTAAATTTCATTTGCAGCAATTTGGATGTCATGGTTGACGTCTTCTTGTCTCAAGTCGAGCGATTGGCGGCAGTTTCAGGGTGATTTGCGACAAGCTTTGGAGCCGATAGAAATTCATTAAATCCGATAGATATGAATTTTGCCCATTTATGTTTACCGTCTTACTCCAGATGGGGTTCAACAAAGTTTCCAAGTATTACAGCTCGCGCGCAGTATGTGTCCAGCAAGTTTCGGGGTATTTATTCTATTTTTAAAAAAAAAATGTTTTTTGACTCTATCTGTTCTGGAAAATTAAAGACTTCTGCTCTCCTTACTATTCAAGGTTTGTCCTCAATTGAGTTCAGTTAATTTGTCTGCGCTCTGTCTTTTTGTTCTTATCTAAAAATGCATTTTATTACTAAGGACGATAAGGAAAAAAAACTTCGAAAATGAGAACTATTAAAACAGAACGGGTATAATTTCAAACGCATAATTTTCCATAAGATTTAAGATGAGCTAGAATTAGCGCAAAATGATTGTGAAGTCTGAATATTGTAAAAAAAAAAATCCTCTCGATTAGAATGAAAATAAGATGGAATAAATGAAAATATCCTTGGAAACAAAAGGGCTCCTAACTACAAGATTTTTGTTTTTATCTTAGCTGAACCTTTCGTAAGTCCCTTTCATATCCGCACAATAAAAGTATTCCAAAGAAAAAAATTTTCTCTTCGAATTTTTTTTTTTTTAATCGTGAGTCCAGATAGCGGTACAACAATTTTGAAACTTTTCTTTTCTTTTTTCTTTTTTTTTTTTTTTTTTTTTTCAAACAACTCGTAAGTCACAATGGCGGATGCAGGAGCATTCTTTGATATAAAAGATTGTCTTTGCAATCAGTTTCCATTTTTGCCTGCTAAAGACTGCAATTTTAGGTTTTACGGTGCTAAAGTTTCTATCTTGCATAACGGATTAAGTCCAAAGAATTTCAGTTAAGCACCAGATTGAAAATTTTCAATTCCTTATTCAGGTCAGTGAAATAGTCATTCAGTAAAATTAGTTTTCCTTTTTGTTCAGTTCTCCTGCATATAATCTTGCAACGAAACAAACTACCCCATATCTCTCGTGAACGCCATTAACAAGTGAATGTAAAGTCATAAATTGAGGCCGCGAATTAATAAGACAATTGCAAAACATGTCGATATTGAGTGTTTCCCTAAAACTCTGTCTTAAATCATCTTGTTGTAGAATTCAACATGTCGCTGGTTGGAGGTACCTTCGTTGTGCATATTTTCCTCGGGCAAGTTTTTTTGTGCTCAGTTCTCGACCTCTGTTTAGTCGCATTCGGTGAGCTGCTGATCGACCGAACAAATATAAACTTAAACACTACTCAAGTATTTACGTACAACCATGTATATGTATAGATGCTAATTTCTTTTCGAATGTGAATTGCAAAATATTTCGCTTCCTTCTTGTTATGTATGACCGTGAAACCCGCTTGGGTCGCTATTGTTTGTGCTGGCGTTTAAGCGTGTGGGAAAGTTTACCGGTGAGGTAAAACCCCATCGAGATTTTGCTTTTGGAGTGTGGCTTTAGGGTTTGAACTCAGACAATGAAGGGCTTTCGATGAAAGCGAGAATCTTGGGCGAGATTTGGCGCAGTAAGTACGCGTGTTTTGTATTGGTTTGTTAGCTAAAATGTTAGTTGAATGTTGTGCCTTCTGTTTCGAAAAGCGGGCGCATTTAGAGTTTCGACAAGGATATTTTGTCCCAGGAAGGCTTAACCGAGTGTTTTCGCTTACCGTTTGCAATTTTCGTAGGCTTGGCGATGCTTGCAGTCATGAAATCAAACGATTCATAGTGAAATTCAGTAGCAAGTTTATTCACCGTCTTTGTTTTCACAAGGGCGTTGTGGTAGTTAAGTCTTAATTTGTCCGATAACATTTGTAACTGTAGCTTTTTAATGTCCGACATAACTTTCCATTTCGCGCCCTTGACTTTTGCCAATCTTTTCTTCGAAAGTGCAACGAAACTTGTTCTTTTCTATCAGGGAATTTTGACTTTGTATTGCTTCGAGGCGTCGAAACTGTGAACAACGGAATATTCATTTATGCAACGTGCCGCCAACAATTTGAAAGGTTTAAAACGAAGTTTCTTTGTCTTCGGGGTATCATTTATGGCTTTAGAGAGACTTTTCTTTCACGAGTATAAACACTTTAATTGAAATTATGAATCTTTCTTTGCATCGTTGTAAACAAAACCTCGGTGAATCAGGAGAATTTTCTTGCGAGGCAACGCGCGCGCTAAAGGAATTTTGTCACGTGCGAACGGAACTCAACTTGACGCATTCGCGCAGTTGTGGACAATTCTAATTACAGGTGGTCTCAGAGACATTTCCGATTCTCAGATCCCCAACAGTTCTCTTGTCGAATTTTGTCATCAAAAGACGAGTTCACTCAATTTTCGATTTGAAAGATAACTTTGTTTTCCTTGTGTGTAAGTGCACAATGATGCTTAAGTCTCGCGCCAGTCACGCTGGCGATATTTCTTGTTCAAGGAGTTGTTTTTTTCTCTGCCATGCATAGTAAGTTTCGCTAGTGTTGTGACGTCAAGCTTAAATTAAAACGTGATATTCCCTTGGACTATTTTAGTATCCATCAAGGATGTTAAGGAAAAGCAATTGGTTCTCTTGAGAGCATTTGTCACTCGAAAAGAGCCGCCTGTGAAATATCTAAATAACCAAGAAAGATGCGATCAGGCAAACATCGGTTCTTGCGGCGATGGCTATCACTCAGGAAATCTTTGAAATCCATCCGCACTACAGAGTGATGTCTCAATAGCATTTCACAAGAATAATTTTTTGTTCATTTTCAAGAGGGTGAGATAAAGGTTGCGATAGGGGTAAGCTTACAGTACGCGTGCGTGGAAGCCGCAAAATTCATTCCCATCCCACGCACGCTCTCCTTCATCCGTTGTGCCAATATTTCTTCGTGCTCGAAAATACGTGAATTTTTCATGAGCTGTCTCGAGCAAGGTGCCTTTTTTCGTTGCGCACACAAGTAAAAGGTGCGCGCTGTCGAAAATTTGGGATGGCTTAAGCAGCGAATTTCCTGCCCCTGAAAAACAGCTGGCGATAATATTAGCTTTCTCGTCGCTCGCTAAACGGCCTCTGACGCGATCGAGGCGAAAAAGGCATTTACGGTTAAATAAAACCAACCGCAAACTAAGGTGATGATAACGCCAACACGTTACGGAAGTGTTAGAATTCTAAGCTGCCTGTTTCGCATAGGGCTAAGAGACATCTTCGCCTCTCGAAAGTCGACTTGATTGTTAAACCCTCTTGAAATTAAGCTGTCAGCAGCGGAATAAAAAACAAAAGCTGAAAGATCTTTGGCACTTTGGATATCAATCTGTCGACGAATTGATGACACCCCTCCGGCTCTCCCGCCCTCCACAACTACATCGGAACAAAAGCCTCTAATATTAGAACACACGCAGGCACATTTCATTGTCCCAGCGTGATTATATTTTGTAAACGCTTTCAACTCATTTGCAATTGTGGTAATGAGGTTTCGAGGCGAACAAAAGAGCGGATTGAGCGGCGATCCAATGAAAAATAACGTCTAGATAACAATTAGCATATTCTTCACGCCGCATTGTAGCTATTGACGACCGAATCGCCCGTGCGCAGTGAACCAATGGCAGGGCGCGCGGTTATGAATCATGATTAATTAAGCAATAATAGAATGTCACTCACCACAGCGCTGTCCAATAAGCTCTCAGAATATCAACAGATCTTTGGACACGTTCATGAGGCTGGCGGCAAAAAAGCCGAGTTTTAGCTGAACGCAAGTTAAACCAAGCTTGTTACAATGGAAGCGCAAACCAACCCTTACTCAAATCAGGTCGGCTCGGCCTCCACGCAGAGTGAAACTCGCGTTATTCAAAATCATCCGACCACCATGGCCTACGTACGAGATGAACACACAGTTGTAAAGTACGAGAATCTTGCTCCGGCTGCGAGCGTAGCTTCGCTGAACGACCAGCGAGTAGGGAATAATCACCTCGCAACACACCAGTGGGTTGTACAAGACCATACTGGAGCCGTTGGTTGGCCAGCGAACACAGTGAGTTTACAAGAAGTTAAACCAATCTTAAGAGAGGATGCTTCGCCTGTTATAACAACAATTGCTGGAGCAACGCTCGTCCATCATCGACCTGGTGGCCACCCTGTAATGCCTTTAGAGCAAGCACGTTGGCCCAGTACTGCGTCGCATGGGGCACACTCGCCTGACCACACGCGTATCCATATCAGCAGCGCGATGCAAGCAGTTCCAACGACTCATCCATCGTACGGCACGATAAACGGAACGGTCCAACTTCAAGGAGCTTTCCCGCAAGCGCCGCAAACAATTCGCGAAAATCCGAACGGCCAAGACGCGCCGCACGGATCTCACCCCGAACTAGAAACACAGGACGACACTCCTACGTCTGATGACTTGGAACAATTTGCGAAAGAATTCAAACAGCGTAGAATCAAGCTTGGTTTTACTCAAGCGGATGTCGGGCTAGCGCTGGGTACACTGTACGGAAATGTTTTCAGTCAAACCACCATTTGCCGTTTCGAGGCTCTGCAGCTGAGTTTTAAGAATATGTGTAAACTCAAGCCCCTGTTAGGCAAATGGCTCGAGGAGGCGGATAACAACAACGGTGCTGCGAGTGGCATCGACAAGCTGGCTACTCAGGGTCGGAAACGTAAGAAGAGAACCTCCATCGAGGTGGCTGTTAAGGGTGCTCTGGAGAATCACTTCTGTAAAAATCCCAAACCGTCTGCGCAAGAGATCGGCACGCTCGCTGAAAACCTCGGACTCGATAAGGAGGTGGTTCGAGTGTGGTTCTGCAACAGGCGTCAAAAGGAAAAGCGAATGACTGCTTCAGTTACTGGCGGAGCCGAAGATCAACACGTCGGGTCTCCTCATGTTTCTTCGCCTCACGTATCGTCTGGTCATGTCTCTTCTCCGCATATTGTTGGTGCGCACATCGCAGGGCCGCAGTAAGACTTCGTGTGTGTTCTGTCACTCTTCGTAAATATATAGTCGCCAAAATGTATTTTTCTATTGCGCGAATGAACAAGGAACTAAACTTACAGACAGGCGTGTTAAGTCGATTAACTCTGACATTTTTGTACGCCGTCTCGAAAGGGAAGCTGAATGTGAAATAGTCTAATTTCAGCTAGCGTAAGCGCTCGGAGAGAATTTCGATTTCAAGTCGGCCGCCTTTCTAAGGATATGCAAAAAGGTATTCTAATATTATGGGCATGATTGTATGTAAATACTTACTTTGAAAGCTAGAGTATTTTGCATTAAGTTTAGAGGAATTCCAGGGAAAAGTATCTAGGACTAGCAGTTTCTTTTATCACGAACGTTGCGCTGTGTTTAACATTGCCAAAAGGCCCAAGTTAGGGGTTTTTGTTCGAAGGATCATGTGTAAATACTCTCGATGGACGCGTATAATTTGTCTACTCACCAAGAAACCTATATGCTCGTATTCTGGGCTAAAAAATCTTTATTTAGAGTTGTTTTCTGGCAATGTGAACAATATATTTATCGTACTTTTCTATGTTAAACATGCATGCTTTTCCAGCCATCATACTGTACCCTCAGATAAGTTATTAAAACCTTTTCAGTTTAACATGCTTTGTGCTGGTTTGCTTTTTAGGCTTTAGTTATTCAACGTTTTTTGCGCATATTTTTCGCTGTTCTTTTAATTGTCAGGATCAGTGTTTCATGGGCTTTTCTTTTCAATCGTTTATTGAGTACTTTCTTTTCTTTTCATTCTCGTTTGAGCGCAATTTGTTTCGACGGAATTCACCGGCGAGGTAAAGTGAGCTGTAGATGCATAGCAAAGAAGTTCATTCATGACTCTGCTGATGTATGCAAATCGAAACAATTTCTTATTTAAATTCTCCCATACATTAAATGCACTATGTTTCTTGAATTTGTAAAGACAGGAATATGCTCGCTCGTGAACGGTTTCTTGCTTTTGAGGCGAACTTGGCGACAGCGCAATGAAAAAGCTTGGTTCAGAATGGTTCGTGTCACCGCCCTAGTCAGCCGTAAATTTTAAACACGACTTGCTGCTTTCGTCTGAAATCGAAACAGAATTCAGTATATGCGGATCAGACTTGTATTATTCAGGCTAAGAATGGACTTGATTTCGAACTGAGGAGCAAGGTGTCTACAATTCATTTCCGTCGAGCGTTTTATTCTTGTCAATGTTCGTATAATGTTTGGTTCTGCCGTGTTCAACATGTTTCGTCGCGACGGACATGTTTTGTAATGTCGATTCGGGAACCTGTCGGGCGAATCGCTTTGAATAAGTTTTCACTCTCCGTAAGCACACCACATTTAAATGTTCTCGATAAAAACAAACCATGCTTATTAATTTTACAAGTTTTACAAGTGTAGATAGGAAAAACATATCTATACGCGATTTGTCTTTATGGCAGTTTTTCCTTTGAACCTTCTCGATGGAATTATGCCCGCCACATGTAAAAAACATCGAATTGTTACAAATATAACAGGCTAAAAATACGGAAGTCTTTTCTAAAATATTCAGAATTTTTGTTTTCCTCTTCATACACATTTATCCCGAGACGTATTTTTTAACCTTCCTCTCAAATTACAATTTTTTTGCGACTCAAATCTTCGAAGTTGTACTCTCCCGAGTCACAACTCAGCAATAGTTTGTTGTTTATGTTAGTTCAAACAATATCTGACATTTGAAGTATGTTGCATCAGCTCTCGCAGTACGTTAAAAGCAATTGTAATCTGGAACTGTTTTCCATAATTGAGGAATATATTCATGAGTTATAGGCAGTCAAAATCAACGCGTTTTTGTCGGACTTTGGAAAGTGACTTTCAGTTAACGAGCTCGCATGTTGTTAGCCTGACAAATATGGGCAACTGAGTGTTTTCCATCGGGGATGTTGTATGTGTTGTGAATAAAAATTTCTCGTTTAAGATGAATTTGTTCTCTTTATTTCTCACTACTTAAAGCACACACTCTCTGATCTTCTTTATCTCTATTTCTCTGTAAAAAGCTTGTCTTATCAACGGAAGACGGGGCAAAGAATGCGCTGTAGGACAACTAATTAGCTCGGCAAACAAGGCCGAATCTCCTCGTTCTTACACAGTTTGACGAGGACAACTCGCGAAAAATACTTTCTTCCCTGTTTATCTAGTAGAATTTCTTGGTAGACAAAATAAAAATTCATCTCGACGTTGTTCAACACTGACAAATACTAAAATAACTTTTGAAATGCCAAATGGCGTACGCCTTATGGCGCCATCGTGAAGTGCTCCTGAGAAAAACGGGCGGCCACCTCTGAGTTGCCGCCATTTCAGTTTTGAGCAAAGTAAAGGGTCTCGAGATTGCTGTTTAAGTGTATGCTACGTTGAACGAGGAGATGCACAATCTTTCTTTTGCGCTGCTTCTGTATTATGTTAATAAGATGAATATTTTACTGCGTTAACATATTTATGAATGCGATGTATCATGACTCTTGAGCTAATTCAAGTCGAGGGGATGAACGAACGAATTTGCCTCACGTCGTAGCTTTTCGCGCATGCTTGCCTACGGAAGTTGTATTTCGAGAATTGGGCGATGCCAATATGCAGTTTATGGAGGTAAAACATTTTTCTTTTCACAGAAGTAGTAATCAATTGGTCAAATGGCATTGAAAGCCTCCAATATAACAGACATTCAGCCGATGATTTGATAGCAGTTAGTGAGTTCTCTCTTTATTTTTTTCCTAATCTTAAGTTATTGTGGCTGTATTCGGGCAAAATATTGACCGCCGAGGAAATAAGATGTCAGGGAAACTAAGGCATTTAGAAAATTGCACTCCAAGCTATTTGTTCTAGATCGTGTTGACAGCTCGATAGCTTTAAAGGCTGGGCGTGATGAGTATACACACGTGTAAGCAGCGAAGCCACACATGTTGATCAAAGTCTACTCAAAAGCGATTAAAATTTTCTGCTGAGCGTCGACGCAAAGTGTTTTAAAACGCATTACGAGTAAACATGAGAGATACGTGAGCTCCGAAGCGTTCTTAAAGTCCCATATGTATTTATTGCGAACAAGTTCTTTTCTAAAGCTGTATTGTTGATCGGAATAATTGAGATGTTCGTCGTTCGCCCCTGGGGAAACATTTCATTTTTTTTATCTTTGTTTTACATCGATAGAATTGAGAAATTTTATTAACCTCGCAGTGTAGCTTTGTACTCGTTAGGATCAGAAATGGGGTGAAACAAATCATTTAAATTATCTCTATTTCGGTTTTAACTGGACTTGAAGTGCAGTTCAAAATGTCTGCTCGGTCGTTTCTTGTATCGCGCATGTCACTGCTGTTAATTACTTTGCACTAGAAAGTCCTTCCGAAATTAAAAATGCAGTCCTTATAGAAAGGCCTGATTAAGTAAGCAAATAGCCTTTTCTTATTCGTGATCCATGTTAGTCTTCTATATCGGCGGAAGCCCATTTTTTTGCGATTATTTATATTCGTGTAAAATTAATTTGTCCGGTGGGCTGTGTGCGTTTCGCGACCTTGTGCCAATTTTGCATTCGTTCGTGGTTATCGAGATGAGTCTTGCCAGAGTTCACTTTATTGTTTTTACATATCGAAAGAGAAAACCGTAGAAGTTCACAAAAACAGAGAATTTCCCGAGAATTAATAAGTTAATTTCCTGAAGTCATAAGACCTAAACGGTGAACGATATTTGGGAAAGCGACTTTCGGCTTTGTTTATGGCAATTTCGCTTGCCCCGAAGGCATTTAGGAAGAAGCTTTTATGTCGCAAGACAATGGATTTCCTGCAAAGTCGCTTTTCAAAATGCTTTCTCGAGAGAGATTTTTAATGGTTCCCTACTTTGTTTGAACGAAGCAAAATTACGCTTCCCACTGTGTCTTAAGGAAAGGCAGTTTCTCCGGCTGTACTGGGTATAAAAGAACTTTTCATTGCCTGTGTTGATGCTCGTCAGAATTAAATAGAGTTGTTTTCTTTATTTTTTTTAATAGTGTCTTATAATTTGTCCTAAGAAGCAGCAGTAGGTGGTTTCGCTATGCGAAATTCTAGTTTCCCTTCCGCGTGAAATTAAAATAACCGCTGTATAAGGCGAATCGATCCTTTGGACGAAAGCTGGCCGATCAACGATTGCCTCAGATCAGAACATCTGCGCGGAAAAATAATTTGGCTACCGCAACATGATGCTGTTTTCTTCTCGTGCCAAGGAGTGCCAATAATGTTTGCGTCTCCAGCGAACCATACCTTGATAGACAATGGCTTTTAAAGTGTATTTTTGTTGTTTGAGCTGAGTAAATAGCGTGGAACACTGCTCTCAAATTTAATGTAGGTTACGCAAAATTAAGCTGTTGAGCTTATGTTCGGATGCGATTTAAAATATCTCTGCTTTCATTGGCGCGCTTCGGGTGTTAGTCGACTTACGTCGCTGTTATTTAGTAGACAAAAAATTGTAATTAAACATGGAATGAAACATCACGATGCGATGCGAAATAGTATTTACACTTAGCATTAAGGTCGATCTCGGCAAGACTTTCTTCCCAAGCTAAATTGGAGGTTTTCCGGCCGACGAAAGAAGCATGCAAGGTGTTCAACGTATGACTAGCTATATGAAAACAAAGTGCTATTAACATTTGTTTTCTTCTTTGGACGCGGAAAAAAGATTCAATTAAATGCAGGGAGCGCGAGGTTGGAACAAAAGCCCTCTAAGTAGCTTGGTCGTTTGTTGAAATGACTTTAAATGCCCTGTTACGTAGATTTTAAGGTCTAAAAAATGAACAAAAACAACCTCGTCAACAGATTCTCCCGTAGCATTGTTCACTGCGTTTTGCCACTGCTTTTGTTGGTGATTTTGTTTACTCCAAGGAGAGGTTGCTCTTTATTGCTTAATCCAAGGATTTGTTAAGAGTAAAAGAATCTTTTGATAATCACCGAACGCCTCAGCGACTTGTTTGTTGTCTGATTTTTTTTCCAAATACCTTGCGCATTTTTATTTTGTAATCACCCGTCGTCGAGCTTCAAGGTCTGAATTTTTAAACCCACAGGCCAATTATTCGAAACCCAAGCTTTTATGTAAAATTCGCCGAATTTCCATTGCAGAAGACGTGCGAAATTTGAAAGTTATGACAGAATTTTGATTAAGCTTATTTCAATTTATGTAAGTAAACGCGCTGTGTTTCATTTTGGTTTCGATGAGCGAGTGAATGCACATTTGATAGGACCTCGCTCGTGACGACTGCGGCAATTTTTCTTTATAACTTGTAAGTATCCACTAACCATTTTTTGACTTTTTTTCATGTCACAGGTTTTATCAAAAGCTAACTTTCTTTGACCAAACGAATCATTTTGTCCATTTTTTCCACTAAAGGAAGCTTTTTTCTTGTATTTACTGAAACCACTTCGTCACAGTTATACAGTGTTTCGACTTTCCACGTGTCGTCGCAAAATGTAGCGTTAAAACAAATCTCCTGTGAACCTGGTCGACGGAATAAGATCTCGTATTCCTTGATTGAGCAAAATCAACTTTAAAGGTGACTAATGTATTTAAGTTTGTCATTAGTTGCAAGTTTGTATTAAATGTGTAGAACCCAAGCACAACCAGTGAGCGCTATTTTATTGATATATTTTGATTTAATATAGTTTTAGATATTTCCTGAAACGTCTCTATGAAATATTCAAAATTTCTAGTTAAGCTTTAGTTAAGCTGTACTTCTCGGAGAAATTTTGTAAAATTATTTAGTGCTTGTTTTGAAGTTTATTGCCGAATAATATATTGAATATTGGCGAGTCACGCGTATGAAATTAAAGAACGTTTTTCTCGCAAACGTGCAGGTGTGTTTGTTTGTTTTTTAGTACGCGAAGTGAAGAGTTAGTCGTTAGAGTTCCACTGTCTACATTATTGTTAAATAGTACATGTTTTTTTTATGTGCTCAGCTGTATGTGCCCATCCCAAATTGATTTCATTTGCTGGGGACTTTCTTTTTACTGAGCCAAAGTTTTGAGATGCTTTAAAGCGAGTAAAACTTGAATCTTTATGGAAATAAAAATTGCGAAAATATATGCAAGAGAAAAAATATGTACGCGCGCCTTGTTTACATAATCAACAAGCTTAAAACGAAGTGAAATGGCATATTGCTTACACAAAAGTAAGAACGTGTTCGTAGATAGCTGTGGTGCGTGTTTATTTAACTTTGTGAAGGCTCGTTTAGGCAAAGGAAAAGTGCGAATATTACATTTAAGAACTTGAATTGTAAAAAGTTTTACTGAGTAATTAAGAACGCTGTCTGTTGGGCGTTAGTTCCTCGGGCTGAACGTTGCATGTTAATAAAAATGATAAAATTGTTATATTGTGCACTTCCTGAGCGAAACAAAGTCATCTCCTAACATAATACGACTATTAAATTATATTTGTCTTCTACGCAAGGAAAATGATCTCTGACTTAAAATTGCTTCTCAGCGTGAAAAGCAAAGCTCGCCACGAGGCAGCAAAAAGTATTCACTAGTAAGGCTGTTTGTGTTTCATTTTTTATTACTTTTTTCTATTAAAACCGTTGTAATTCGGGCACGCTGGCGCGAAAGAACTGAGACATTAGAGTGTCTTTTGTCGTTTCCAACAATGCAAGACACAGGGAAAGCTGAGAATTTTAAAAACTTCGCCTTTGTTATTTGAGAATTGAACGATTTTTTAAGAACTGAAAATATTGTTGAGACTTGTGGAGACTTTTTCTAATTCATATTTTCCGTCCAAGTTTCGGCGATGCACGTTATGTCACTTTTACTTCAAGGAATATCACGTTAATTACGAAAATAAACATTTTTTCGAAGGAATTATATTTATCAGTGTAGAGAATATTATTTCGGTTTTTTTAATTTATTCCTTTATTTTATAAATTTCTGACTACTAGTTCGTGAAATTTTGTTCTTCATCCCTTGGCTCGTTTCCAAACTGATTCGATTTTCATTTTTAACGAGAAGGATGTTTACAAGTTGTTCCTACAGTCACAAAGTAAAGTCCGAATTTATGCAAGTTTTCTCACGGTCAATTAATATAAAATTTCACTTGACTTTACGACTCATGGCTTCTGCTGTACACTTAAGATTCTGTAGTTTAGTAACGTACTTTAATTATTAGAAACGTCAAAACTAGACAGAAATTGTTGTAAAGCCTTTTCAATCTTTTGTGTCTCTTTTGTGCAAACGAACAAAGAACTCTCAGGAAGGAATTTACTATCAAACGTTTTGTTTGTCTCATCTTTAAACTTCACTTTCCGCAGCAAGTTTCTATCGCCAAAATTTTGAATAGAATCTTTTGGTATTTTAATTAATCCGACAAGTAAAAAATCGAAACAACAGTTCGTAAGCATTTTCCTTTTCGTTCTGTGTTGCATTCAGAGTTTCGTGTCTTGTTATTTTTTATATCAGGATACAAACACGTCGTTCGACAAATATAGCCGCTCTCAGATTGTTATGGTGCTTTACCATATCGCGTGTGCTGTGATGGAACCGAAAACAGATAGACACACCACTTAGATGGATTTTTAGCGGCATTTCTCCGACTACAACCGTCAAAATCACCATTATTTTCACCTTTGATAAGGGAGACCTCAGACAAAGGTTTACATTGCAAAGGATTACTTCTGTTACCCCAAGAGATGCACGGTTAAAAAGTAGATTAGCTTATCGAAAGAGCGACAAACTGCAGTAGTGTTTTCCTTTCCTACCTAATATTTGAGATTATAAAAATTGATTTTCTGTGGTGAAATTACTAACTGTTTATTTAGCTTGAATAAGAATTTCCTCGTTGTGCGAGACATTCTGTAAGTCACGTTTTGGTTCCCTGATTGAAACCGATTGTTGTTTCGGCTCTAATGACACCGCACTGTGCGTTTTAATCTTCCGCCGAAATTATCCCTCGTTCGGCATTATTCGAAACACGAGAATTATCTCTTGGTAGTAATTAAACTTTCTTGTTCTTCGGCCCGCCCTGCCGAAGCAATTACCATTCTCGCGGTGAAGTGATATCGCAGCTAAGTTGCAATCATTTCCGTCCGAAGCACTTATTTGAATTTGCAGGTTTTAAGTTAATGAGACAAACACATTTTCCATTTTGGAACCGATAGACTCCAGCCAGTATTGCAATTGATCCGTTGTATTTCATTATGTGGTTTGGTCATTCAAAATTATCTTCGAATTTCTTTGACGGAACTTTTTGAATCAATATTTTTATCTTGTTCCCCGATCACCAACACAGTAATTTAGCGGTCATAAATCATGTGATGGTGACGTGCAGTTTTTACGACGATAGGTCGAAATTTGCCTTAATATGCTAACAGTTTCTACCATGAAAAATTTGATCTCTGGTTGCCCTGAAAAATAAAACAAAAGGGGAAAAAATGGCAGCAATATGAAAAGACAATCTCTTAACTTCTAAGGCAACATAACGTTTTTATGCAAATTGTGTTCTGTGAGGTGCTGTACAAGTTTGATCTTTTTAGTTAGGAAGGTTTTAAACGGTTGCACGATAAGATTATTTTGAACCTAAATATTGTGGGTTCATCCAGGGCTATGATTCTGTGTATAAATCATCTTTGTTTTACAACTGTCTCCAGAGCAAAGCCCTAATATAACTGAAATAAAACGTGGGTAATTCAAAATATGTTTTCATGATTTGTTTTTTCACCTGGCAATTGAATGAAAAACCGTTGGTTTTTTTTCACCCTTGTATGCAGTATATATATTTATATATCTGTTCTCGTTGATCTCGAGAGACATTTCGCTTTCCATCCTGCTGTTTTCGACACAAAAAAAGCGCACGGTTTGTTGTGGGTTTTTCTTTTTTTAGAGCTAATTTGGCAGGGAAACCACATTTGCTTGTCCCATTCCAATTTTGTAGTTATACATCTTATTTTTTGTCGATATATTTTGACCTTTTTGTATTTATTTAGTTATGTTCCTAAAATTCTTGAAATACATCGTTTGACTTGATTTAGGCGTTCATTCTATCAACTGAATTTGTTGTTGCTTCAAGGTCATTGTAAATCGAGACCAAATGGACCTTGCAGAATTCAACCCGAAATCTTCTATGTTTACTTATGCTATGGTTTGCTAAGTAGAATCGTTGCCTTTTTGAGAATTAATTCTTTATATCTCATCGACAGCCAGAAAGAAATTTTTTTTTCCCCATTTCTACCTTTGTTTTTTATGTAAGTTTAACGCCAGTCCTTTATTTTCGTACCTTCTTTTTGAGCATTGTTTTGTGACGGAGTATATGAGCATAGTCTTCAGTTTTGGAGCGGTAATGTCAAGAAGGAATTTTAATAAAGTTTTCCATTAGCGGCTGTCGATGATGTAATAATTGGCTGTGACCGAAACAGGGGTTGTGAGGCGAAACCAAACACGAGAGCCTGCTCGCAAGCTAAACTGACGATACTTAGAGATGTTTTAGGAGGCGATAGACCGCCCGTAATCGGGATTTATTGAAACTCTTGTGTTAAGTAGAATTTTATTATTCATCTCTTCGCTTTAAAAAATCGTTCCAGCCGCTGTTCTGTAGCTCTAATTGCTATGTGAAAGTAATTAAGACCTAGCCTTGTTAGCGAGTCACATTTAATCAGCAAAATTATTTCAATCCTCCTTGCATCGCTGCGGCAGCAAACTGACATGATTGCTACAACTGCTGTTAGCACTGTGAAGTTATTCTTGCACGATCAAGGTTACATTAAGTTTAATGGCTTTGGAGAGAACTGTTTACGTAATGTTGTTTACTTTTCCTCTTTTCCAGGTCGAACGATCATCAACGCCGGATCAAGGTTATGGTTGCATCTCAAATCCTGCCGCACAAAGGAATTACCAGTTCTCGTCCTTTAACCCAGACTTTTAACTTGGGTTTAGGGAAGGAGGTTCACAGACTGTATGCACGATGACCTCGTTACTTTCAGCTTAGTTTCGAAGGGGGCGTCTCCCATTTGCTGGGTCCGAAATGAAAGGAGATAAGCCAAGATTTTATTTCCTTAAAAAAAAAATATATAAAAAAAGACGAAAGTTTTCGAATTCGGCATTGATATCCGTTTCAGATGTGATCATCAGATATAATTCTTGTTTCCTTTTGATTTTACTTGCGTCTGTAATGTTTGTCTACTCTAAAAAACGATTTTTTCAAGTTTTCTTCATACTCAAGTGATATTTCCTCGGAGGCCTTTCGTTGATTATCTCCTCTGAGGTGTTAGAAGATTATCTTAAGGTTTCATGTTATTCAAAAGAGATTCTCCTGGAGGTAAAAATGGTTCTAAATATCGTGACGGCGATCCGTTTTGAAATTGGCCATTCTTAAATTTTTTTGGTTCCTCTATGGCTGGCAAAAGGTTGATTCAGGATGGCGCGTCATTCAGTCAGAGACGACTCTCTCAGATTCTGGAAATGGTTCGAAATGTCGTGTGGCTGTAACATTGGGCCGCAACAGCTCATTTTGGTCTATAATCACAATTAAATCATTCCAAACCCTTTTCTGTTTTTTTTTCCATGCAGGTTAGTTAAACATGCAGGGCAGTTTCGAATCTTTCGTAACTAATTTTGTTCACTCCAGCTTTAAGGCTTTCTTAGCGACAATTTTTCTCAAGACTGGAGAATTTCACACGGGGTTTGAACGTGAGCTGGAATCATCAAGTTTAGACGCGACTGCTTTGAAGTATGAATTACTTGAGGCGAGGAAAGTTTTTAGTGGTACGTTTGAATCAACTATCAGTCTTAAAAACATCTTTTTTCTCTGGTCTGAGCAGGTTATCATACTCTTTATTTTCCTTCTCTTCAACGATTGATAGCTATGGGTCTGTAGAGGTGCAACGTTGCCGGAATTTCACCGCTCTTTCTTTTATTTCTTCATTTTTATTGACGACTTTCAAAGATACCGCGGGCGCGATGAACAGTTGGAATCTCGTGCAATTAAAAAAAGGAAAATGCATGTATACTTCACGTTGATGTTTTCCTTGACCTTGATATACAACCTAAGTTGTTTTATCACTAATTTTCTTGCCAAGTATGATTAGTTTTTTTTTTGTTATTGATGTTTTTTGTAATTTCAATTAAATCCAACTATTAATATCCTTCATTATGATGTCAGCTTTTTCCCATCCCATCTCCACAGGAGCAAATATTATTGTTGAACTGTGAATCCTTTAAAAAAAAAAACATTGTCCTACTTGGCTAATTTTGCTCTTGTCATAAAAATATCTCTTCAATAAGTTAATCCTAACTCTCGCACAATTATTAAAATAAATATCCAGCTGCTTACATCTTTGTGACTTTTATCATGACCAAAATAATTTATGTGGTAAATTCTCATCTGCAACACCGAGCTGTAATTTTCATTGCTGTTAAATTGCTTCGCTGTTGCCACCTGTTTTGATGGCGTCAACAAAATGGCACTTGTCTTTATTAGATGAGTTAGGATAGTGAAATGCAGAATTTTTTTGCGCTATTGATCGGTGTTGCATTCATTTGGCAAGCAGTGTCATGCGTTAAACTTAAGTGGACAACAAAACAAAGGTACGTGTTGAAGTTGCACGTGCCAGTTAGTTTATTTACGTTCCCTGACGCCAACCGCAATTAGATTGTTTTGCAAAACAACTATTTGGAACTCGTTGGGTACCTGAAAGCATTAATTTAGAACGTAAATGTAAATAGATACAGTGCCACAAATGTCGTCCGTCCAGAAAAGTAGCTTTCTTTTCTCTTGCGTGTAAAATTTCCTAAATATTCCCTGGCATGAATGAAAAACACGAGGCTGCAAATTTTGTCCTTTTCGAATTTTCAAGGCAATTACGCCTATTATGTAAGGTGGTTTAATAGCTTTGCGAACCCTTTCTTTACTAATTTCCCAGTGTAGTCAGTTTTGAAAATAATTTTCCATTCATTTCAAGATTGTAGAACTAAAATCTCGTCATGATTGGGTTTTTCATACAACTGTTGGGATACAATTAATAGAGCCCTCCCGTGAAAAGTTACTGTGTTCAGCTGTCAACAGTACCTGTTGTGTAGGTAAATTATGTTGCCAAATAGAGCTTAGGATACACCCAAAACTTTTTGAAAACCATCAATTATTGACAGGGGCTTTGAGAGAAACTTTCGTAATTAACGTTTGTTTATGTTTGATGGTGCCTAACGGGAGCGCCATGGCGTTTTGCTGGTAATGAATTGGATGAAATGAAATATTTAGTTAATTTAACAAGAACTATTGTTGAACATAGCGGGTTGCTGTGTTCATTTTAAGTTCTTGTCAATTAACTAAGGTTTTGCAGAGTGCGATTCTCGTAACTAGTTAGGCAAAGATTTCAGGTCGATGACTTCGTGAAAACAGAAGACTGTCAGTTGAATTTACAGCCATTTACTTCCTAATAAAATGTTTTCTCACAGACATCTTCTTGTCATGACTCAGGGAAAAAGGATAAAAATATATAAACACAATCTGGATAGATGACAAGGTCCTTCGGAATACTGAAGTAGCCTTCGAGGTGCCGAACTAATTAAAAAAGTTTCAAAACCAAACTCGATCTGGCGCCAACTATACAAAAAATTCTAATTTAACCATGACGTGGATCTGTAAAGTACTTAGAAGACGAATCCTACAGCATGAAATGTCGAAACAATTCGCCTTTTCCGTAAAATCAAGTTCTATGTAAAGGCGCGATGTCGTTCGCACTGTGTTCTGTTAATAAAGCCTGTTTCTGAATGGTTAGTCTTGTTTCACAAATTCCATTGATTTTACTGTGTAATTTTCTAGTGCCTATGAGTAACAGCCTCTTCAAAGTTCTCCATAATCCTTCCCCTGTGAATTGTTCAGTTGTACAAAATATGCCGTGCCAGGGCTGTGAACAACATCGCCATGAAAATTTTCCAGTTCGGAAAACGCACTTGATGCAACACCGATTACAAAATATCATATGCCTGCTGGCCAAGTTAACATATTTTCCCTAAAAAATAAAAAAAATTAATAAAGATGTTTTAGATTCTGCTGATTCTCAAAATAGAGAGAAGCACTCTGTCCCTAAAAAGCGCCGTTTCGAACCAGCGCCTTCCCTTCAGGTACGAAAAGTAAATATGCGCCCCGGCCGCTAATTCGAATCATTACATTATGTCCTATTCCAAACTTGAGAGCAGGGGTCCTACAGCCGTTTGGTCTAAAGATGGGTGTGGATGGTGACCTACATGGTGCCAAACGGGGTGTGGTTTCTAAGGGACCAAACAAGGCGTTGGCATCTATTTCTCCTGTCAGCTCCAAACGAATGACAGAGAACAAGCCGCACCCAACGTGCATCATTCCACCTAAATTTTGTGGAAATAATAAGATTCTTTTCTTCGTTAAGACGGGTATTGATGTGATATTTCTGAAAAGGGTATGGGGAATGGCATGTTTTAGTGTGCAATATAGACAAGATTTGGAGAACCAGTTAACATAATCCTGACCATGAATTCTTCATTCTCTTTTCCCCCCACTGCGACCGGTCATCAGCGAGTGAATACACACAGAGTGGATGGTATTTCCTTTTGGGCGACTCTTTGTTCCTCTTTTCCCCAGGCCTCCTATGTCAGAGCGTGACGTCCAAGCACCAGTCTGGTACCGGATCACCATAACGACCAAGGTCGGAAAACTTGACCTTTTAACCACACAGCTAGCGTTTTTCCCTGTTAATTGCACCACATGACAACCTTCGTTTTGCTACTTTTGGTTTAGCTACTTTTCATTGAGCTACTTTTTATCCTTCAAACATAATGTCAGAGTTGTGGCAATCTGTTAAATTAATTGTCAGAAAAATTGCACCTTCACCCTGTCAACTCTGCCATAGTTAACCCACTCCAAAATCACTTCCTCCCCTTCAGTTCATGGTGTAAGACCCATTGGTAGTCTGTCAAGACTATTGCATGTTAATATACATTCATAGAGTAAAATGTTATCATTTGTTTTATTTATGCCATTATAGATTTTTGCTCATTATGCTGCCGAGGATCCATAACTAACAACTGAACGGCCAGCCAATCTCTGTACAAGTTTCTTACACATGATAGAATAACTAATAGGCATCTGTTTGAAAAAACTTCTTCTTTTCCTGAAAAGCTCATTCTTTCAACAAAGGATTTCCTTTATTCATCACTTCTTGGTAAGAAAGCTGCAGATGACCTATAAACCAGAAAATGGTGATACATGAAAACTGCAGTCTACTAAAACACAAGTTCATTCCCTAATTGGTAATACTATCACAATGAGATTCTCATCAACTTCTCAATGGTTGATACAAATCTTGCCTTCTTAATTAAGAGAAACAACAGACAAATGGAAGGATTGACCAAGTTCCTAAAAGTACTTGTACACTTAGAATTAAGAAAGATGACAAACTTTGGTCTCCTGCATGGCAAAAAGTAAATTGTGTGGCTTCTATGAGGATTCCCTCTGGGGTGAAACCTAACAAGTTTCAAGTTTTATACACTCTTATTAAATCAGTGGTCTGATCATCTCATTGAAAACAGTCCTGCAAAGGACTGTTGTCAGTGGTGGTCACTGACATTTTGACATTTCGACATCATCACCAGAGTCAAGAAGCTTATCCAGCCTAGCTTACCCCTGTTTTTGAAGCATGAATCAACAATATGTAGGTAGTGCTACAAACCCTAGAAGAGATGCCAGTCTATGCCAACCCCCCCCCTCCTCCACCCCTGCAGTTCTCTGGTACCCATTCACACTCCCAGTGCAGGAGAAGCACAGAGAAAAAAAGTTTCTTGCCCAAGAACAAAACACAATGAGTATGCAGGGTCTCAAAACCAGATCTGTGGAGCAAGAGTCCAGAGTGCATTAACTATTAAACCACTTCCTCTCCAACATGAAAACTGTTTCATGTCTGTTTAATTAATAATCAAGCTTGATATCTACTTCCTCTATTACTCTAGGTAAAAACAGAGATATCAAAATTGTGCATGTATCATCAGATAATAAGCGGAAAAAACTTCATTAGCACCCTTAACAAAGGGCTCAAGATTTGGTTATTTTCATCACTTGATACATGAACCACAAGAATCAAGGAATAATTATATCTTATTTCCCTATGACAGTTTTGGAGCCTGTAACCAGACAACAGACAGTACATGTCATTATGCACGCAGCACGTAAAGGCTAAAATTTTTTTCCACTGAGTAAACCTTTCTGGCCTCAGGTTTCTTTTGCTCTCTTACCTTAAATTGTGGTTCAATCATTGTCAAATGCCTTTACAACCTTGCAGCCTTGACCTTTGCTTGTTTGACCCTGTCAGCCAGGGTCTTCTAATTTCTCTTGATAACTTGTCCTCTACATCAGTTATTTGTTAGGTCTCCTCAGATATTTCTTGGCTTCTGGGCATGAGTGGAATAACACACAGAAGGAAAAGTACAAACATTGAAAGCTATTTTAAACAAAACAACCACTTCATATAAGATTTATATAATTATCTGCCAGCCATTTTGGAGAAAACCCAGACGTGTTGGCAGGTATGATTAAAATGCTTCCTCCCTGGCCCTCATACTGATGTTGTCACCAAAGTAATTTCTGAGTGGTGCATGAACTTCTAATCATAAGGCCAGATTAAATTCACTCTTCAACCCTTTAACCCTTTAATCCTTTAACTCCCATGATCTGATTGTTAAGTTTCCCGTCCAGCTTTTAGACAATTCCTGGCAAATAAGTTAGGCGAATTTGGTATTAGATTGAGATAATAACTTCTACCTAATAGGTTTGGGTATTCTCATTTGCCCTTTGCTTGATAATGTATAGATATTATAGAGAGAAGTTTCATGTTAATCACTTTGAGGAGTTAAAAGTTTAACTCTCAAAAGTGATTAACATGTTACTTCTCCCCCATAATATCCATATATTGCACACTAATGAGAATACTCAAACTTATTTAGTAGGAGTTGTTATCTTGATCTACTGTAATACCATATTCTTGAGAATAATTTACATGGAAACATGTAGTGGCTAGATAGGAATTTGAGAATCAAATCTTAAAAGTTAAAGGGTAAACAGAAGCCCCATTATGTAGCAAACAACAAGTTACTCATGGTCAAAATTATCCCTGGCAGTTACGCCAAAGCATTAATAGACAAAAGCAGATGGGAATTTTCAGCTATAAATGCATAGCCGCGATGAACCAAAGCAAAATTCTTGATTCAAGAAAAAATTCAACTGTCCGCTAGGGAAGACAAATTCTTGTCTTGGAAAAACATCTTAAATTTATGACAGACATCCAAATCTGAGAAAAAAAATGTTGCAAAAGATCTCTGCCTCTTTTTTCCCATAGTGGCTTTCCATGTTCATGCTTGCATCCAGGTAAGAAAAATATGCAACGCATAATGAGAAATAATTCCACAACTTCTACAGAGTACACTTCAAAAGGAGAATGTATCGGATCAATATCAGTATCTGGGCAACTGCCCACCTACCCCTCCCCTAACTCAACAACAGTCAATTGACAACAACTTAAGGTTAATGTTGGGTTAGGGGAGGGGTAGGTGGGCAGTTGCCCAGATACTGATATTGATCCAATGTATCTTTCATGGACAAATCAATGGTTGTCACGTTACATACCAAGTGTTATCCTCCACTCAAATCCTTGATGCACAGCGCACCTGTATTAAGATAACAATAGTGAAGATCAAATAGAAGCTAATATCATGGTGTAACTACATAAATTACTGCTGTGCACCATCAGTAAAAAATTAGAGTGTTTGACATAGTTTTCACGGTTTGTCAATGTAGCGATTCAAACTCATCACTTGGTGCAAAATTTCATTTTAATTCAAAGTAATAAACAGGATCACAAAGAAAAAAATGATTTTAGCTGAGAATTAGAAGTTCCACTACCAAAAGAACTACCCACAGTTAAACACAATTTATGAGTTTTGATTGATCTAAAGACCATGGCATCAAAGCTCATGTAGCATAGGCAAAAGTTCCAGCCTTATTTGTAGGATAAATAAAGCATTTTTCACCACCTTTATAGCATATTTCAAGAAATCTCTACGAGTTTCACTGATACACAGTTTTCCACCAGTGCCTGTTTGTTAAGTATGAGACAGGTAGAGCTAACTTGTTGATAAAACCACTGTTTGGTATTTCCTGTCTCATCGAGCATATGCTTCTGTGTTTTATTGGATATCCAATGTATTACTTGATAGAAATCTGCAAACCAAGGGGAAAGCTTCCAGTGAAGGCTTTACTAATCCTTTAACCCCTAGGAGTGATAGGCACCTAATTTCTCTCAACAGTATCACTCCTGAATCAAACATTAACGTCATGAGAATGAAGGGAATGATCACAAACCCAAGAAGCTCATGACCATTAGACAAATTGTCCCATTAAATACCAAAGGAAAACTAAAGGGAGCAGAAGGAAAAGCTTACACTTTAATATAACGGTATAACAGCTACTTTAAAAATTTAAAATGAGTCTCCAAGCTTTTCGTCGATCACAGTATCACAGAGGACAAAAGGATTGCAGAGGGATAGCATTTATGCCAATACACATGCACACAAGAAACTTGCTACAAGCACATCAAAGGAAGAACAAACTAATAGCAAACTGTTCTGTAATGTGTAGATAAATTTTTCACCGGATCTCGACACAAAATATAAAATTTTCAACTCATTTGGCTCCCACCATCACGTAACCACATGGATTTTGCGGGATGTCCCGAATACACGTGGAATACCCTGAGAAATTGGAGAAATGAACACGAGGCATTCGCTCCAAATAACACCAAATCTAGAATTCACACGAGAACAAATCATCTCATTGTTTGATTTAAAATTAAGTGTGCCTCAGCCACGAGTGAATTAACATCTTCAATTGATTCAAAAGGTCATTTAAGAACTCCTTCAAGTCCTTTGCGGATTTCAAGGCATTTGAAAGTGTCCCAAACGATCTCTTTTATAAAAAAAAATTAGACCTGTTTAACGAAAGAAATATTCGATAGTCAAACCTTGCATGCTGCTCAATATGGTCCACGTTTAACTCACACAACGCCAGAAAAGGACGGATCATAACGGAACATAGCTTTCACTGGGTCTCCAACGCACATGGCCACCGAACTCGTGCTAGCTATTATGGGCGAGGAAGACTGGATACGAGTTCATTAGGATGTGGGTCGGTGGAGTGGGTCAAAGATAAAAAATTTCTGGGAGCGGGGGTGGGGATTTTATTTATAAGGAGTCGATGTAATTTCTGAAAAATATCATCACTGAGCGTCTTTTCAATAGAAGTGACTGCTTATAAGAGGTAAAAATAACAGTGATTAAGAGGAAACAAATTCAGGACTTTGACGACAGATCACTCAATACAGGTTGACCATTTGACGTGGTGCTGCTGAATACTAGTTCACCTGTAAGCAAGACTTGGATGATTTGGTCACAAATTGTTGTTTTAATTTTAGTACGAGGTGATATTTACTGACATATAACTTTTGAAATATCAGGCTATTTCTGGCAGTTCTTTCCATATTCATGATACAACAGAAGTATATGCTGTTTCACCTTAAACCTTCAATTGATTTCTAAAAAAAACTTTATTATCATAGACTAATGAGCACATAAAACATCAAGTTAGTGATTTATTATTAATAAGTGGAAGCAAGGTCAATAAAGGTTAAAATTTTCTTTATTCATCTTCATTTTGGCCCTGACAAGGGGCTGACAAGAAACATCTGCCTTTCAAAATTTATTACAATAGTTCATTTTTAGAATAACAATAATTAATAAAAAAATTTGTGTTCAAAATTAGCTGAGTTTATGTATCACCTCTTCTGTCAATTTGAAAGAAACAGGGATGATTACCTTACACTGAGATCTTACTCCTTTGTAGCACATAATGATGATTTACCACTAGAGTTTTATACTCCTGAAAAATACATTCTATACATTAGAGTCATTAACTGATTTGGACATAGTTGAATTACAATACAACAGCCTCTGTACAGCTGCATAAACCACATGCAGTCCATATCATATTATTTATTTTTTCATATCATCTTTATTTGGAGGCATCAAAGAAAATCACTGACTCATCTCCAACCACAGAGGCATTGTGAACAGTACCAGCTGGTACAACAATCATGTCTCCAGGCTGTAAAATTACTTCTTGGCCACACATGGCAAACCTGAATTGTCCAGAGACAATGGAGTCTTTTTTGGACATTGCGTGAGTATGATCAGGAAAGTCAGTACCAGAAGCAAAAACATATTTTGTAAATGAATACCCCTGTGACTTGAGCTTGTTTCCCATATTTCTTTCATTCAATGGACCATCTCTTCTGCTGTCCCAATGTTCCACATTCAACTGTGACATGTCAGTGGAATGGTGAACCTATGAAGTAATAATAATTATATAATAAACTGAATTATGCAAGTATTTTGAGGACAAGCACAAAGATGATATCATCACTGAAGACTGTTTGCTTCTTAATTGTAAAAAACAAATAGGATCCCATGTTGCTGAGGGTCTGTACAGTAACAGATCACAGAAGATGTCTATGCC